AAAAAATTATCTCCGTATGTGACACTCAAGTTGCTACAAATATTAGACAAAATATATATATTTGGGAAGTTCAATGGATTTTCATCTGAAATCAATCTATAATGTTATCGATGAGTGTAGTTGCGTCATGAGAAATTATTTTTAAGTCCATCACCTTTTGAAATTAATAATAAACAACGCAAGTGTGTTTTTTGTAATGCAATTAAAATTGAGATCAATCAAAAAGTAACTATTTTTTTTTTTTTTTTTTTTTTTTTTTTTTATATATTTATTTTTGATTGTATTAATTATAACAGGTATTAAATATTAGGTGTTTTCTAAATTTTATTACTTTCGAGTATTTATCGGTGTTCGACGTTTTTGGAATAAACTTATAAATTACAATTCATAAAATATAATCGTTTCAGTATTCTTACTTGTAGTAATTTGTATGTACTTAATGTATATTGTAAATTCTTGTTAATTAATTTAACCTTTTTTTTTTTTTTTAGAAAAAAATATAAAAGGAAAAACAGTACTTAGATTGTTGTAAACATATATGACACACAATTGTTGTATTAGCTAAGTTATTATTCTTCCCCAACTCAGTTTACAATAATGCCTAGTAAGAGCAAATTGTGTCAAAAAATACAAAGCTAGTAGGAAGTGTGCCATAATTTAGGTCAATGATTTTCATTTAAATTTCAATCGAGATCAATCTGATTATTCTCTGACACAAATTGTGAGAATTACCACCACACTTATTCGCTATTGTCGTACAACATCAAGCATATTTAACTATTTGAAGATCTTACAAATTGATAGAAATAAAACCAACAACGTGATGCCTAGTACCATTTTATTTGGTATTACGGCATTGTTTTCTACAATGTCTATTGTAATAATTACATTGCAATAATTTCCTACAAAGAAGTGGGGTTTATTACAATTCATTTTTATTAAAAAAAAAAAAAAGTTTTAAAAAAGAATTTATGACTCCATAAATGTGTATTTTCTTGTAATATATTTATTTTTTACTGTATTTGAGAAAAAAGTATAAATAGATTTTGTACGGAAATGCAAAAAAGCAATATCCTGATTTTTCACCTAACCATTATGCATATTTTTAGCCGTGACCATACCAACAGGTATGGTAGGCTATTAAGATCGACAAAAAAAATTGGCGCCGCGGGAGGCACGCATAGCCGCCCATACTAAAATATGTTAATACTGAATGTGAGATTTACGATTTTGATGTTACGTTCTTGTTGCAAAATATTGCTCTACCTTAATTTGAAAATCATACGTAATTTTATTGGGGATTTTTCGCGCTCCTCCTTTATACCATTTCACGGTTAGATTGGTGTCATTGTTTTAGGAAATAATTTGGTTAAAATCGGTTCAGCGGTTTTGAGTTATCGTAACAGACTGATAGACAGACAGACAGATACCATGGAAATATTTTGTTCTTAGGTCATTTATGACCAAATTGACCCAACAACTCATTTTGAGTGAAATTGAAAAAAAAATTTTTTTGTTTATTTTAATAGCCTACCATACCTATTGGTATGGTCGGCTAAAAAAGGTTTTTAATTTCACTCAAATGACTTAATTGACCTAAATACAAAAAAAAAATATTTTCATGGTGTCTGTCTGTCCGTCTGTTTGTAACACGATAACTCAAAAACCGCTAAACCAATTTTAACCAAATTTAAGTAATAAAAATACTGTGGCACCCGATAATCTGGCCATTAGTTTTTGGTGGGGTGGGGCGTTGGTAAGGAGGTATGGGAGGGGGTTAAAAATTTAAAAATCGAACTCCAAATTACAGTAGCTATAGTGAAACGCAGTTTTCACTTAAGATTAGAAATAATATTTGCAAAAATTGTGTAATAACATCAAAATCAGTCAAAGTCGCAGTTTTTGAGATAAAAAAAATTGAAAAATTCCTTTACTTTGAAACTAAATGATATTGATCTGATATTGTGAAAAGTTTCTAATATTGGACAGGTAGTACGTATATAATTCAATTAAATCATGTATTACTATCATCTATCATTGTCAAGAACCTTCAGTTTCAGCGTCAAATCTGTAAAGTAAACTGAAATAATATTATTTGTATTCTGCCAATATTGTCATTTTTATTCAACCACCCCAGTAGCTCTATACGTCAAAATAATGATACAATAAATTTAAAAGCTGACGTATAAATGAAAGAGATAAAGAAGTCCATTATAAGTGCTTTAAATTGTTTTTTAAATGTAAATTTTAATGCATCGAGTGTTTACTTTGATTCATTAATGATTCCGGAAAGATAGACGAGATAATATATGTATGTGATCCTTGAAATCATATTATAAATAGTTGATTATGCAAATAAACTTTGTGCTCAAATCTTTTTTTAAAATATTTTTGCCATTAAGAAACATTATTTAAGGTAAAGTTAAAAGGTAAGGTGTTCTGGTGTTTCCCAATTTTCCCCACAGAATCTGGTGCATTCGCCGTTGCTTCTCAGCTTCAGCCTACTGACGTGTTCGCTTGAGGAGACAGTGTCCCGTTAGAAACCCTTCTGAATATCTGAAGATTGTTTTTAATTAAATCAAGGAAAATCTTGTATTTTTCTCATGGTCGTAAGTTTTGAGGAACTTGTTCGAGTGTCTTAAACCGTTGAGAACTCCCCCATTCCAGGTTACGGATGGAGTCTTCCAGGTTCTTCAGTCCCGCTTTTAGTTGGTTTCCGCTTGAAAAAGCAGAACGGTTCTGGTCCAGTTAGTGGAGTGTTCAAGCTGGAGTTTGGAGTTTCCAGCTAGATCATTTGCTTTTCATTGCCTTATATTCCTTGGTGAGTAGGCACCAATTAAACTTATACCAAGAACTTTAATGCTTTAGTTGGCTTTAGATAGTGACAGAGATAATTTCCCCATAATAAAGGATATTTATTATTTGTCTTCGAATGAATAAGCATAAGTGATCATAACTTTTTTTTGACACAATTCATATTATAGTTAATATAAGACGATACGGAGAGTTGTAGCTAAACGGATGAGATTTTGAGAATTGTAAGTTTTGGATTAGTCGAAGGACTATTAGAGCTTGGCAATTTAAAAATATTTTTACAAGATACAGAAGTGTCCAAAAAAATAAAAATATCAAAAGTTGTATTTTTTAAATGGAACACTCCTGTATATTATTACATTTTTAGTTTTCTACGATTAAAATAAATGTAAATTTGATTAAGATTTATTACACTTAAACCACTGTTTCTGAAATATTTTCAATTTTGTGAAATAGCAGTAAAAAAAAATTTTAAGGCTTCATTTCTCCAAGGGTGTCAAAGTTTTAATGATAAATATTGAAGTTTATTTACAATCAGTTATTGTGTTGCAATAATAAAAATTATACTATCTTATACAGAGTGTCTAAAAAATATTTTAAATACCTTTTTTTTTTTTTTTTTTTTTTTTTTTTTAATGGAACACCTGTTTATTTTATGAGAATCAGATGCAATAATTAAATTGTCTATCAAATTGTATTATATACCATTTTTACCTATCCCTTTAAGTTTCCGTAGAAAAATGCATTTTCTTGTAATTTAGAACTTATTTATCAATATACCCATGGAATACTGACATTTTAGATCATTTTTCAAGATGTAAAGACATTTTTAAAGAGTACAGATACTATTATTGTCGATATAATTCGTTTATTTCCCATAAAAATAATTCAAAAAAAAAAAAACTTTAAATATTTGTTAAAGAGGACCAATTAATATGATTCCAGTATTCAAACTACATTAACTGACTGTTTGCGTTGATTAATAATACATTAATTGCCTCAAATACTAAAAAAACTGGAGTTTTGTATGTGTATTAGACAGTGTAATAAAAAGTAACACCTTAAAAATGATACTTCATTTTACTTCATAGTTCAACAGAGACGTACATTTTCATAACTTATTATTATATTGATTTCGGATTCAAATCCACATTTATTTAGAATAATTTATTAACGAACACAATTAAGTATGTAATTAATTAGTATTTGGGCGGAAATAATGGTATTATATTTAATTAATGTATACTTTTATACAGATTTAAATAGTTTTCTTTTTGTAATATACAATGTTAGTAATATTATCGTTTTGCTAAAACGATAATATTACAAACCAAACCTGTACATTTTGTACATTTGTTGCTTTAAAAACAATTCAAAATGTCAATATTCCATAGATAATATTGATAAATGAGGTCTAAGAAAAGAAAATGCATTTCATTTGTCTAACAGGGTAAAAAGTATAATACAATTTGATAGACAATTAAATTGTGCATCTGATTCTCCTAAATATACAGGGCGCAACGATTTAAATTAAAAGAAGTTATTATGTTTAAATCTAGAAATTATTGAAAATAATTTTTTAGACACTCTGTGTTAGAGATATAGATATTTTAATATTGCAACACAATAACTGATCAATAAATAAATTTCAGTAAATATTTAGTATTAAAAACTTTGACAATCTTGGAATGAAGCCTTAAAATTTTTACTGCAATTTCACAAAAATTTGAAATATTTCAAAACGGTAAGGTTTAAGTGTAATAAACCTAAATAAAATTTACCTTTATTTTAATCGTAGAAACTGTAATGTAATAATACAGGGTGTTCCATTTAAAAAAATACAACTTTGATATTTTTTACTACTTTGGACACTGTATCTTGTAAAATATTTTTTTTAAATTGTAACTCTAATAGTCCTTCAACAAACCCAAAACTTGGCTAATTTGTAAAAAGCTAATCGTTTAGCTGCAATACTCCGTGTCCTATGTGGTGAACAACCCTGTATAGGTATTCTTAATAATTAATTATATTTATAGCAAAAAGGTACAGACAGATTAAATGTAACAGAATATAAAATACGCGTATAGAACTTCTTAGAGCCCTTTGATCCGAATTCAAATATAACGAATTCTATATTAAGGTATTAAATTTGTGGATATTATAGAAATAACTACCTAGTTACGTACCTTTTGGGGCTGGCGATAAGCTGGTTGTTTTCCTTTTGGTAATGTTGAAAACAGTCGTCTTCTGAAAGTAAGCTGCTTGTACGTTTTATATTGTTGTTGAGAGGTTGCAAATAATTTCTTGACATGGAATCTTGATAAATTTTCCATTTCCTATCTTAAATTATCAACACATTTTTTCTGAAAAAAAAAAAAAAAAAAATAACCATTATTTTTTAATTTATACCATAACTGAAATAATTAATTAATTCTGTCGATAGTCCGTTGAAATTATACTATCGCTGCATCAATGATAACTGAAGATTAAATTTCAAAAGCCGTTTATAGGAGTTTAGAAGAGGGACGAATAAAACCTTAGAGTATTTTAAAATATCAAGTAATTTTTTTAAAAATGTTATTATTGTTTCAGAGATTCTCTATTACCTTTTGCTTCACTCAATTAAACTTTTGAGCTTCATTATTTTATATAGTTATATTACACTTAAATGATGTCAAAGTAGATTTTCTTTTTTTTTCAAATTATTTTTTTTTTTTTTTGTGTTTTATTTGAAATGTACCGCTTAGAAGATCTAAATAGTGACGAGTGATACTGGGGTTCGTTTTGGTCTTGCATTTTTCCCTTTTTTATTTACAACTAAGTTTTCGCAGATAAAAATCTTTACTTACCCCTCCTCCCTATAATACAGGGTGGCCTGAACTGTATTCCGGTAACTCCGGCAGCATATTCTGCAGATAAAAGTAACTAAGAAAGTTCTTATAAATGGGAACTTGGGAACTTTTCGTTCGTAGCTGTATAAAAACTACTGAGTCGAAAGATATACATTTACGACGTCTTTTTATGCCAAAAATGTCTTTTGGTAAAATCGCTATGAGTAATAATAGTTCTCAAGATATTTGAAATCTAAAATATCAATACCTGTCATCATTGACATAAATTAAACATGCTGGACTAAATTGTTATTAGACTGAAATCATAAACTTAAAATGTTTTTGGATCAAGAGTTCAACAGAAATTGTTTTATCATCATTTCTTCCAAGAAAATTTATGATTAATTTAAAAATAAAAGATTCCCAAATTTATCATTTCAGTCAAGTAACAACTATCTACTCAACATAAGTTTATTTTTTGTCAATAATAATATGTATTGACTATTTCCATTGTAAATATATAACGGTTGCTCGTAGCGATTTACCAAGAGGCATTTTTACGTGAAAAATCACGGAATGTATATTTTTTTCACTCAGTAGTTTTATACGGTACGGACGAAAGTTATTACTCTTCAAAACAGTTAAAAACATATTTAGGTAGGTACCTAAACCTACAAATAGGTTTCAGCTGACATCAAAACTCCTAGATAAATTAACAATTTTCATTCAATTCGTTACTTCAGAAATTATTTGGAAAAAAATCGAAATAAAAAATGAAACTTCTACATCCAGTATCTCCGAAACTAAGCATTTTATGACATACATTTATGGGCCGAACTTTTTACTTATTTTTATCTGCAGAATATGCTGCCGAAGTTTCCGGTGGTTCAGTTCGACCACCCTGTATATTAAAACATCATAAAAATGTTCTCCGAAACTATTGCCAGCATATAATATGTGAGTTGTGGTAGCCGTCGACAATAAGCCATATGCGTATAAAGCCGCGTCCAAGCTACTCGAACAAAACGTTGGCGAACATATATAATTCACACTATATACTAGTAGCAGCAGGTCGTAAACGACGGCATAGCCCATCGCATCGGTCCCGAGGACTGAGTTGCGGGGAAGAATGCGACAACCAGTTTACTCTATAGATCTAGAATGCGTTTAGGTAGTCGCTGTTTTTTCGAGTGCCCGTATTTCGAGTGCAAGCATTTTATTAAATAAATTAATTGGTAAACAGTTTAAGAACTTTTATCGTTGAAGAATCAATATTTAACAGGCGGAGGGTCATAGGGTCTTTTGGTAGATTATTCGTTACAGTGTATTTTTAAGACCTCTGTATTCATTTTCAGCCGATTCTACCAGGTGTTTCTCAAAAAGGGGCTCACTTTTTACTTTTTTTATTTTTCAGATAATACAACGAAATTGGTTTGTTAGTATATGATATAAATCGGGATTAATTGACGTGCCCAATTGGCCTTGGTTGTTTCCTGTTTCACCGGAAATGACTACAACTTTGTATTTTAGATTGTATCCTAAGTGCTTTTTTATTTTATTTGATAGAAAATGACATTCTGAATAGAATGACATACCATACGTCAATTTTAGACAATTCCACTAAATAAAAATAGCATTTTAAATTTCAATCTAGAGTGCCAAGACTGAGTTAAAACTATTAATTTGTTTTTTCCTTCATGGCCGCTTAAAAGCGCCCAAATCGTAATTTTAATGATAACTCAAATTTTTCAAATGGTACGTGGCTGGCTCAGCATATTTGAAAGCATTTACGAATAATTTGGTACCACATACTTGGTATTTGGAGTAAAATTGTCGTTACGCTTATTTATACATTTTGAATTGAAAATGTCAAAAGTTGACATATAATATATCATTCTATTTAGAATGTCACTTTCTATCATATCCGGTAAAAAAAATACCGAGGGTACCATTTAAATCAAATGTTGTTGTCATTTCCGGTGAAATAGGTAGTGAAATAAATGAAAACGTCGACCAATCCTGATTTATGTCCTGTAACATATCAAATCTCGTTTTGTACCTAAAAATTAAAAGTTATAGAAGTAAACCACTTTTCAGAAACACCGGTATAAATATATATTTCTAAAATGTAATGGTAAAATTTCATTTCCGGTGTCAAACTTCCTATTAAGTAATAATTTCACTCTTTGTGAACTTCCATAATAATTCCGGTTTTTAATAAAATAATCATAAAGGTCTTTATTAACAAAAAATGAAATTATATGGACGAAGTCTAGCAACATAGCTATTCACACTCAACCCACAATAAAATTAAAATTATAAAATCTTTTCTTTGTGCAAACAAATTATTGTAAATGTTTTTCACGATCCAGTCAATAACTGCGTCTCCCATTGTCGAATCGGTAAAAATAAAATCACAGATGGACGCCTGAAATTAAATGAGACCCTTCCAAGTGTCCGGTACAATGTCCGCCGAAATGCACGCCGTTCGCCCCTTTTGATTTACCGACACCCGTCGGAAAAAGAACGCGCGCTCTAGCATAGGCAGACGCAAGCTCTGGCGTACAAGCTAGCCGTTGGCGCTCCGCGCTCCTTAATAGGCCTAGGCTAGCTGTACCTGTTGGCTTTATTATTTATAAATCTACCTATCTCACAATTTTCACTTAGTATCTGTTTAATTATATATGTTCATGAACATTTTGTTCGAGAAGCTTGGACGCGGCTTAATATAGGTTTTTTTCAAACGCCCCAAAGTACCGCAGTAGGTTTGGACTTGCAAAAGTCTTGTGCAAGACTTTGCGTTGAACCTTGGTAAGATCAAGAATAAAATAAATTTTTACCTTTCATCTTTTGTAAACATTATTATTAGAGTATTAATCACAAAATTTATTATTTTTAGGTTTTAGGTTTGATGATGTTTGACAATAATCTTAAATTTAGTTACCTATTTCATATTATACAGAGTAATATGAAAAGTTGCAAACGGGAATATATTTGTCAAAAAAACTACTATCAAGTAAGATCTTAAATACACATCGGAGGTTTGGATTAGAAAACATTGGTTTCCTCTTTGTGTATTTGACATTTGTGGCAACTTTTTTTCTAAAAAATTTTTGTCGGTTCAGTTTAGCACTGTTTTAGTATGCTCTGGGCTGTAGTAACACTTTTCGCTACACTAGTTCAAATGTTTTTGTTTTTTGCAGTCTTCTAACTAAGCTCACTCTCCAGGACACTAACATCACTCTCCAGGAGTCGCTGGGCCTCGATGTTTTGATGTGCTGAAGGACCCTTTCTTCAATGCTTAAGGCATATTTCCTGATAACGTTGTCGACATCATCGACTTCTAAGTCCTTGTATAGATTGCACCGTGGTACAGTCGCAATTGGTAATCTACATAAGGAGATCTTCATCATAGTATTTTTTAAGAGATATTCTGGATTGGTACTTTTCAAATTATCACCCTATACTGTGTAGATTTAAAGAAAAAGAATGCAACCTTCTTAATGCAACCTTAGTGATTTTTTTTATTTTATTTTAATTCAATAAAATATATAGATTAAAAAGTCTTCGGCTTTCGCAAATAATTCTCTAGCCAGTAGTACGTTTTAAAATAACTACCCTCTTTGAGAACATGTATAATTAAAAAAAACCTCTTCTAACTAAAAAGCCTCATCGTTATATGCATTTTTCTATGCAAACAACTAATTAATCCATAGGAACTGGTCAAAAAGTTTTTTTCACAGATATCCCGAACCATATATCGTACAGCTTATGCTCGCATAGACATACAGTGCATATTTTTTAATTACGCGTACACGCATTTACGGATGTTTGACTGCGTCGGCAGGGAAAGGGGTGCGGAAGCGTGGAGGGGCGATTCGAGGCCGCTCTCGCTCTCAAAGCGGTCGGCCAAAGTTTTCGTTGCTTTTAAGCCGAACGAAAGCTACGAGCTACAGGAATAAAGCATTATGCACCGTACGTATGTGCACGTATCCCTTTCCAATCGGTAGTTCGTTCTCTTTCTGTTACATACAGAGCCGAACTTAGCCCTCGAGAAAATGAAAAAATCTGTATGCACTATTTGCGCATATTTGAAGTGAAACCATTTAATAACAGCTATTAAATTGAAGGATATAAGGTAATAACCGCCTATAACAAACCCGTTTATTGCGAAATTTCGTTAATAACGAACCAAATCTATAAGTACTAAATCAATAAATCAATAAAAAAATAATTTTTTTTTTTCGTAAATAATGAACCCTTTTATAAACGGATAAAACGAACCTTAAATTTTAATATGATCGTAAGATTTTTTCTGGCAACGAACCTAAAACGGTATTTTATCACTCATGCCACCAAATATTAGTTCCAAACTACAACCTATGGATGCTTAAAAAAGCTTAAAGAGCTATTTATAACTTATTTAAAAAAAAAAATAAAATAGTAAATATTTGATACATAGGGTGAACATTTTTCTATCAACCTCTTGGATGGAATAAACTTCATT